TCCGAGCTCGATGCTCTCCGGAGGCTCTCTCTCAATCATGGCCATATAGAATGAATTCCTCCTCACCAACATCGCTCGAATTCCATTTTAATCTACTGTAATGACTCGATTCGCTCAGTAAGATATGATTCCGCGAGATTCCAAAATGCGCGAGTCATTGAAAGAGCTAATTGAATTCGTTAGCATCAACTCGTGTCTCCACCCGTTCTCTGCCTGACGGTCGGGCTCCCACACAGAGGCTGAAATGTTGGCGATTTCCGTGGAATGGGCTCCCTTTCCTCGTGGGGAACTTATTCGAACACCGAATATGATCGCTACAGCTGGCATGAGCGAATCATTTCGTGGTAGTCTTGGTATCCAGCGAAGGCCTTCTCAGCCGGACATCCAATCACATCATGTTCAAACTTGTCCAGTGGAACCTCCCCGGGGACAAGAAATATCATCATAATGGGATTTGGTTCCACGACCTTTGAGAAAACCACCCGGGTTCCAAAATCGGTATTGACGTGTTGTTGTGATGGTAGACGTTCTACGTACGCTACGGCATATCCCCTCCTTCTCCGCCATGAAGTGGAATTTATCTTCCGCCGAAAATATTCCCACAACATGAGAATCCGCCGAGACCTTGACCTGGTCCCAAGCTATGCTGGCATCAACCCGAACCATCTTTCAATAATTCAGAAAAATCTTGGAAATCCTAATGCAGGGGCAAGATGACCGCATTCCTCCGGGACCGACAATCGCGATCTCCGGTATCTTCCCGGCTCATTTCCACATTTCATGGGAAATCGCTAGTAAGGTAGTGTTAATAAACTTCATACTCCTAATGCTACCAATTGGTTGGAGCGCGATTCGATCGGCGGAATATCCTTCCCAGATTTCTTCCCGACATTCCCCAAGCTCATTCGACCCCAACGGAAAGCTCATGGGGGCTGACTTCAGGAGATGGGATTTTTTTAGGACGACTTCACAAATGGCTCATTCTGAGGAAGGATCCCCGTGGGCCTGCCTGAGCCAGTCTTCTCGTGACGATTTTGAGCTGTCATCTGACGTCGAGAGGCCTCGAATACAGTCATGATCTCCAGGTGAATGACCTCATGTGTGGAATAGAGACCCTACCGCAAAGCTGGCGTCCTGTTGCAAATGCGTTCGAAGAATCTCGAACTGATTCGGACCTCTGATCTCCAGCGGACCAGATCGGGCCACGGGCTTTTCGGTCAGTCCTCAAGCAGCTGCGGTTCAGACGCAATCAGCTCCTCTCGAAATTCCGTTGATTGGGAGTAGTTCATATACATGACGATCAAACTCATAGATTCCCCGAGTCTAGCTCACAATGTGACAGGAGGCACCGAAAGATGCACACGTCGCGTCAACGTCGTGAGCGAAAACGACGTCGAACGTTCTTGTTCAAGACATCGATGTGCAACGTGAATTGATCCTGACGACCGAATCAGACACTCCGATAACAAGCTCGAGACAAAGCGAGTGGATGTCTTGGAGACGGAACGCTGACACGTCGTCATCGCTGCGAGCGACAAATGACTTCGGGTATCATTACCCTAAGATATTTACTAATCTAATAAGATAACAGGTGAGAGTCCTCGATTTCGATAATAATCAGCAATTTCCCCTGATGCGGGAGAACTACGTCGACCGATGTGCCCCACAATTGTTCGATCCCGAAACGATGGAACGAGGGCTGCCTGAGCTCCCCGGAGGTGACGCCGCGCCTTCGGAAGGTCTTCTCATCGGTCCTCTGGATCACACGATCCAGCGGTCATTAGAAGATGGAAGCAAAGTCTCTCCGCCTACGAATTCCGGGAAATCCGATCGGAATTCACAGCTTTCGATGGGCGGCCCACGAACCGACCGAGAACAGAAACCATGCATCGAAACAAAAACTCCGATTTCTAGATTCAAAACATTCCAGACCAACTGTGCTCGAGCTTTTCAGCATCTCTCTCGACTTCTCCCCCCCCCCCTGCAGGGAGCCTATACCTTCTGCATTGGCAGGGAGAAGCTTGACGGCTATCCGGATCCGGCAGGCGGCTACTCTCCGCGGAAACTGTGGTGAAATTGGAGTAGGTTCCGCCGGAGCTAAATCGTTGCGCCGACTTGCCCAGACCGATAGTTTTCGAGCTCTGCCACTTCGTCAGAGCCGAGCTCCTTGATGAGGACTTGTCGCGAAGGCAAGGTTGGTGAGAGAAGCACAACACCGGAGCATCCCGATTCAAAATGTTGGTGCAAGGGCCCTCCAATCATCGGCGTCTTGGGTCAACGTCATTATCCACCGAACGCATACTGAGCTATGGCAGCGAGATTCGAATGAAGGAATCTCGAGACATGGGAGGGTCAGATAGCCCCCTAAGTGAGCGGCATTTCCGAGGATGGGATTTCTCGGCTCGGGAAGACTTCACCTCTTGCCGAGGGGGGGCCTGAAACCGTTAGAGCTCTGTCTGACGAAAACCAGATGCAGGAGCCGAGGCAGCTTGCTTCTGAGCGCCAAACCTCGTAGATCAATTCTCGAACGCCCACCAAATATTTATGGATGCGTGTCAGTGGATGCGTGCGATGTCTGTACTCTCGATGTTCCTCCGTGGCAGATGCACAGAAGCTCCGTAAAAGTTCTGCAAAGCATAATGGACCTTGCTGAGGAGGGTGACGACTACGTGAAAGGGATCAAACTTGCTTTCATAGGAGCCGAATGACCGTGGCGCGAGCCTTGCCGGAGAACAATCAATTATGCCATAGTATCGTTCGGGCCGGGCGTTATGGATATTTCCTGACGCACAGGATCCGTCTTGATCAGTCCGCGGCAGATTCGCACACGTCCTTCGGTCATCACGAGTCCTCCGGTCGAGACCGAGACAAAGTGCATCGGGAAACCAGCGGCGGAGGAAGGGCAAGGGGAAAGAAATATTATCCAATGATGATTTCCACGGATGGAGCTTGCAGTACAGCCGACTCCCACGTGCTCCGAGCGCATATAGGGCGAAGGGAAACTTCACGATATCCATATATACAGGGTGGTCATTTTTAGTCGGGACTTTTTTTCCCTCTGCTCGTCCCGGCCCTAACTTTTGAACGGCTGGATGAAACTATATGAAATAACCCACCAATCAACAGCTCTCGCCCTGACTGACACGATTCCGTCCCCAGCGGTGACGATTTCGGCCAGTATCACCTGTTGCGGGCGTTTTGGAAATGATCGGTCACTTTTTTCTCGTCGCTCCACGAAAACGCCTCTTTCTCGGCGACCGCTTGGTCGATCGGGCTCAACCTGGTTGCGTTCGACGCGGGACAACCTGGCGGAGGTATGCCATAAAAAAAATTCAGGTACCATGTTCCTGGGGGAAACGCGGAAGGGGTAAACTTTGGTTTGAAAATTGGACAAATTTACCAAAATTCCGGGTTGTCGCAAAACTCAGTCGATAACTCCTCAGGGAAGCCGAATTCGAAAATTTTCATGATGGCTAAAAGTGCTTAAAAAGGGCCAATTCACCCGATCTGGGGGTCAGCGGCTTGATCCGACGACTTTTTTTTTCCTACGAAAATCGTCATCTCGAAATTCTCCTCGTGGAACGCGGAATACCGCTCGGGAGCGCTGATGTTGTGTTCAAGCGCGCTCCAGCCTCTCAGCATGCTTCCGAGCGATGGCGCTCTCGGATTTCCAACGGTCGGAATCCGCCGGCATCAGCCATTTTGAAAAGGGAAGAGCCGCGCGAGTCCTCTGTGCATCATTTCGCTGTCGAATTCGGGATCGCTGCAATCTGTGATACGCAACTGCCACAGCCGTGATCTCAGTGAATTCATTGTGTTCTCCGGACTCTCAAGTTGATATCTGCAAGATGGCTGAAGCCGGACCAAGCAGGAACCACCGTTGGGAAGAGATGATCTCCTGGGGCGTCTTACCTTCCACCAAACTGGCGAGGACCGCGTGGCGTTTCAACTCTTCCCTCACACTCTTCCTTTTTCAAAATGGCTGATTCCGGCGGATTCCGACCGTTGGAAATCCGAGAGCGCCATCGCTCGGAAGCATGCTGAGAGGCTGGAGCGCGCGCTTGAACACAACATCAGCGCTCCCAAGCGGTACTTCCGCGTTCCACGAGGACGAATTTCGAGATGACGATTTTCGGAGGAAAAAAGTCGTCCGATCAGCCCGCTGACCCCCAGATCGGGTGAATTGGCCCTTTTCAAGCACTTTTAGCCATCATGAAAATTTTCGAATTCGGCTTCCCTGAGGAGTTATCGACTGAGTTTAGCGACAACCCGGAATTTTGGTAAATTTGTCCAATTTTCAAACCAAAGTTTACCCCTTCCGCGTTTCCCCCAGGAACATGGTACCTGAATTTTTTTTATGGCATACCTCCGCCAGGTTGTCCCGCGTCGAACGCAACCAGGTTGAGCCCGATCGACCCAGCGGTCGCCGAGAAAGAGGCGTTTTCGTGGAGCGACGAGAAAAAAGTGACCGATCATTTCCAAAACGCCCGCAACAGGTGATACTGGCCGAAATCGTCACCGCTGGGGACGGAATCGTGTCAGTCAGGGCGAGAGCTGTTGATTGGTGGGTTATTTCATATAGTTTCATCCAGCCGTTCAAAAGTTAGGGCCGGGACGAGCAGAGGGAAAAAAAGTCCCGACTAAAAATGACCACCCTGTACTCTTCGGCGGCGCGCGGCGCTGGTCAGCGTGGGAGAATAAATGGCTCGGATACAACGCCCACTCCCCCTCCCGACCAGCGATGTCGGGGAGAATTTTTCCGATTCATCAGAGGGGATTTCCCACCCTCAGGAAGCCTTCCCTGAGCTCCTGTAAGGATCTTCAGGTCCAGCAACAGATCGCAAGTGTCAGAACTACATCAAATAAATCTAGCCTCTACAGAGCCCCTCTCTACAGATGTAGGAAGCGTTTTTCGAAGAAAATCTCGTGTGTTTATTAATCCCCGTTGGAGAGAGAGCACACGTCTCGAACGACGGGAATCTGCACGAGAATCGCTCAGCCAGGAAAGTCAGCACCACGATGAGGACCTTCATACATAGGGAGAAACGGCGGCGCTGATATCTTCCCGAATACTTATCACATGGCTGAGTGAGAGCGGAATCCACCCTTCTACTCAAATGGGGAATGCTCCCAACTCCTCTCGGCTTCTGCTTCCAGCAAGGTGAGGAGCAATGACCAATTAAGTTATCGCCATCAAATATTACATGATTTCTCCTTTTTCCTACCTATCGGTCATCCCCTTCATTGATACATTTGAGCTTGCTCCTTCTTTTCGGGTTGCCATTGAGCGCGGATCCGAGGTTGGCTGGGGCGTCCACTGAATCTGAGTTTGGATCACAGTCGTCTCATTTCCAGACCTTTACAACTCCGTCCTTCGATGTCGATATGAGAAAGTGTCGTTGAGTTTTGATCAATCCCAGTTGACTGATGCAGTCATGATGACCCGCAGCAGCTCGGCTGCCCATGCGTGTTTCGGCTCGTCCGTCAGACGACGGATGTTTGCGAAGAGTCTCTTGGATCACCTCGGTCCCGTCGCATAAATTGTGACTGTACGATGCTTGGATCCTGTCCGCATCCAGAGCTGAGCCGCAAATCAGATATGAGCTACCGTGAGCATTTTCCGCGACGTCCCAGCAGCGCAGCCTCATGTCGGTTCCACCGGTGTACAGGTAATGATCCGCCTGGCAGACAGCGTAGCTCACGTGTCGACTGAATATTCGATCGTTGAACGGAGGGCTGCTGGAAGCCCACAGTGTCTTGGATCTCTGCTGATTCTCAAGATTCCATAAGGAGACTTCATTGTTGCCGAGATGCGATGCCCAAACGCTGCCGATGCTGGAATGCTTCGGGATTACCAGACTGTAGACCCGACACTTGAAAGGATGTTGGAACTGAAAAAATCGAAATTTCATGTGATTTCAACATCAACCACGCCATGTCCATTCCTCGATGCGGTTCGGCCTATGAATCAATCCATCGATTGAACGAACAATCAATCGGGTTGTTCAGCCCGGACAACTCTCGCGTCATGGGAAAATGGAGAGGGAGAGAACTCACCCGTGTTATGGGCAACTGGAAACGGAGATCCCAACAGACGATGATTCCCTCCGAGCTCCCTGTCACGAGCCATGATTTCGAGGAATCAATGGCCATGCATTGCATCAAGCCCACCAAGGTGTCATTCTTCAACTTGAACGGTGGCTCCGGCATTCGAAGGTCCCAGCCGTGAATACCGCCATGGAGTGATGCGTACGCCATGACCGTACCGTCAAGAGGTTTGATATCGACCGCCCAGCCGTCTTCGATAGGGTCCAAACACCTGCTGTTTGTCGATCTGGGCCCTTCGGGCGCGACGCAAAAAACTTCCATGTTGCCCGAGTTGCTCGCGACCATGAGGGATTTTTCGCGATGGCAGTAATCCATGGCGACCAGTTCGCCGGTCAGACGGTTGTAGGTGAAACAGGACTTATTGGTCATGTCCCTTTTTTCGATTTTGCCCCAGTCCCACAGCTTCACGGTACCGTCGGACGAGCAGGTGGCGAACATCGCTTCTGGCATCGCACAGATCTGGAACGGGAAGGTCGGTTTCAGCTTGACCATATTATATATTCATCAGAGATCCTGCGACGGGCAGATAATTTGAACGATTGGATGTTTCCTTGAACGAGACTGGGTGAGGGGATCCACGAAATAATTACTAACCTTGTTGATTGATCGCTGATGCTCATGCATTTGGGCCATGAGTGTACCTTTCGGTTTCCACGCTTGCGAGAAGTGCCCATCGTTCGTTTCGACGTGGAGCTGTCCCGCAAGCTTTTTCTTCTTCTCGAATAATCTCTGTAGCTGCCGGTGTTGATTCAAAGCTCCGCAGAGCTCGTCGTCGGGAATATTCTCATCAGAGTCGATGGGGACAGTTTCCTTCAGAGAAATGAGTTTGCATTTTTTCCCATCGAAATTTATACAGGGTTCCGAGTCCCTCGTCGGGACCGTCGAGGTACGAGAGTCGATCTTGACATCTTTGGAGAGCGCGATTATCACATCGGCCTTTTCGATTTGAGTGATGGGACTTTCGAGGTAGGGCGCGAGATAGGCCCTCAGGCGACATTCTCTCAAAGAGACCGGAACCGTCCTGGCGACGCAAGCGAGGAATTGTGCTGCTTCAACGCGTATCCAGGAATTTCTGTGCGCCAACAATCCGCCCGCAAGACTGAAGAGATCACATAAGGTGGTGGGTCGGAAGAAGCGGATCTCCGTGAGAGCCGTTATGCATTTTAAAGCACTGCAAACCACTGCGTCATGATTGTCTCGGAACCCTGAAAGCGAAACGGGCAAATGGCGTGGAGGAACACGGAGCTACTGAGGGTATCTGCTTCCTCGTCGCTTCGTGATAAGTTTTTATCCGGAGACTCACGTCTCACGTGTTTATCAACGAGAACTTGCCTTGCTCAATCAAGGGCATCAGAATTTGCGTCACTGTCGTTCCGACGAAGGCAGCGACGCCGGCGACGCTTTCGAAGAATGAGCTACGTAGCTCGTGGTCGGATGAATCGTTCAGAAACGTGACCATATGGGACAGGAGTACGTCGTGAGCTCGTTCTTGGCCGAAGAACACGCATAAGTGCGTAGCACCTGGAGGAAGCACATGACCAGAGATAAAAGCCAGCATTCGATGAGCGTAATCCTTGGCAACTTTCCTTACGCAAACACGATTTCGAATCTTTCAGCATAATCACAAATTACCTTTCTCTAAGAGCATCCTCTTGACCTGATTGCAGCTATCGGATATGAGAGTTGCAACGATATTCTGCATTGCGTTGTGTAGACCCTCCAATTCCCGCTCGTACGAGGTGCGATAATGTAGCAGACTCCCGACGTCTTCTTTTCCGCTCTCGGTAAAATCTAGGTGACTAGTCTCCAAGAACCTACACGGAAATTCGGCTTTAATTTTTCTAATCGTATATCGTGAGCCGATGGGAAGACTCCGAACTCGGAAGATCGACTTGCGCTTATCTAAAATATGAGGGCTAGGGACGGGAACGTACCTCAGAGCCGACTCCGCGAGTGAGCCGATGTTGGCTGCCAGAGCAACCCTAACGATCGTATTGTGGTCAGTCGAAACTCTCTGCAGTTCCGGGAGTATATATTCAACGAAGACGAAGGCATCAGCTTTTGGGACGTTTTGTATGTGATTCAAGCTATCGGTCAGCACATGGACAGCCTCGGCGACGACTAGGGCGCAAGGATCCGAGAGCATGTTCAGCATGAAAGGCAGCAGTCTGAAATAGGATCATGAGTCCATTATAATTTCTGTTTTCTTTTTGTTGGCACTCCGCTCAATCAGACTGGAACAACTATCCCGCTCGTTCCTGAATCTTGAGCGAATGGTTAGGCGGAGGGAGTGAATTCGAGTCGATGATTAGGCTCTCCGATCCGGGTCGAACTACGATGTACACGAACCTATCGAGGATGACTTGCGGGTTGAGTCGTTCCGCACAGATCCTCATCAATTTCAGAGCAACCATTTTTGCGGATGAATGCTTGAGTGAGCGGAGCATGGACGTTATGAAGTTAACCAAAGCCAGAACCCCGTCTTCACTTCCAGCGATCTTTTGGAGAAACATCTCATGGTCTTTGTACAGTCGTGAAATCTGAGAATCCGGATGAGCTGTGTCCAGAGCGTAAACTTTCAAGTAGTCAAGGAGACCATTGTAGAAACATGACGGGAAGATCTCTTGCTTGCGAGCGAGCTCCAAGTACTCGTCGGCCGAAAATCTTCTCTTGGGATCTCTTTGAATCATATGTGCGCACAGTTCTCTTATTCCTGGAATTTGATCATAACCGAGAATTAACCCCAGAGATGAGTCATTGCATTCTTCGAAAATCACTGATAGATGCTTCCCAGATACCGATCAAACGGACTCGAGAATAGAGCTCACCTTCGTCTTCGATATCTTCCAGCTGTGTTGGGAGCACCTCATCTTTCGCTTCGATGTATTTGTACATATCTGACAGTTTGAATGGGCTCTTCCCCCTATCGGTGAATAGTTCTATGAATACGCAGCCCAGAGAGAATATATCCATGGCGGGTGTAAGACTTCCTCTGGATTCTTCCATGGCATCCACTCTCGGCACCCGTTCCTTGAAGAACCTCTCCGGCGCTACGCAGCAGACCTGGCCTTTGGACGTGTCGAAAAAATACGAGAAATCACCCGGGTCGTCCATGGGGAGCAGAGTCGGTTTGAACGAAGCGAAATCGGTGAGCACCACCCAATTCCACCCCGTCACCAAGATATTCGCGAGCTTGATATCGCCGTGACAGACTTCGGCGCGATGGCACTGCGCTAGCCCACAGAGTAGTTGGAAAGCGATCCATTTCTTCTCCGACGGTAGTAGAAACGGTCGCGTTGAGATCCGATCGTATAGAGAATACTTGACGAATTGACGAAGGAGTATAGCCGATTTCTCCAATATGATTGCTTTGGCGAAAGGCAGCGCATTCGGACAGTTCTCCAGAGCGTTGCGAATTTTGTCGATATTCTTCTTGTGATATGAGAGCGGCAGGGATTCGTCGTGTATCACGAAAACTTTCGCGACCAGTGGGTATTCGCAGCCCGCGACGCGAACCTTCACTGTTTTCAGGAATCGCGTCGAGCCGAGTTTGAGGTCGCGCTGGAGCTCCGGGAGAGCTGACAAGTAATCGTCGACAGAATGGATCGCAGAGGGTGCGAATCTCACGAGAGCACTTCCCATTTTATCGATTCCTCTAGTGAATCGCTCCGATGAATTTATAGCTGTTGCGAAAACTACGTATTTGTCAGTGCAACCACCGCTGATAGCCACAACGATACATCGAGACCAGCTGACCACTCCTCCTGTCCGTTCCTGGAGCAGTCCGAGAGCGAATTTCCTTCGCGATGCACCGTTCCGGGTTCTTTCAGGATCGAGATGCGAGCGGAGTCCACTGGTCGTTCGGTCTAGCTCGCTGATATAAACAGCGAGTCACTGCTGACAGACTCTGAGCCACTCAGAAAAACAAATCACCTCATCGCACAGCTAGTGGTAGTGGAAGGGGCAACAACACCGTCATCATCATCTTTACCACAACCATCAACACTCTCATCGAGACATCAAGAACGACGACTCAAAAATGTGTTCGTTTGGGGGGGGGCTGCACGAATTTCTCGCCTACCGCGAGCACCGAAGACAAGCTCCACTTTTCAAGGACGGCGTTACACAGCGCCAGTTCGAACCCTGCCGTCGATCTCGTGCGAGTTCCCCTTCACCTCTCTCTGTTGTTGATGCTCCGTTGATGGTTCATCAAAGCAGCAGCACGGTTCCCTCTCCAGTTCGTCTGGCGCGCTTTCGAAATCGAAGAATGAAAATTTTGGCTCCATTTCCGCTGATATCTCCCGAACGATCGACCAGAGTTCAATTCCGAGTGGCGCTTCGTGACTCTGGACTCTCTGAGAAATCACTTCTTTTCGAGGCGCCAAATGAGAGCTCAGAGTTTATTGCAGCCAGGCGGTGATAAGCAGACAGCTGTGTGAAGACTCGAGCGTTGAAGCGCGTATCGCGCGACAATCAGGCTGGGGGGCAAGGTACCGGGGTTTCTCTGTGTGCAGCCGTCCCGCCGATCAAGGAATCAGATTGCGGCTAAGGAATTGCACCTATGAGAGAACGGTACACTCGGCACGCTGCATTCTTGACAAGGAAATGGCAGGTTTCGAGAGGGGCTGTCGAACCTCTGGTCTCCGTCGCGAGAAGTCTAAACTATGGGTTCCCGCGATCCTTAGTCAGCTATCAGCATGTATTCTTGGAAAAAGTGAACGATCGTAATGAAGTGGAGGAGATGTCTCGAGCGGACTTCGGCTTGCGCGTCACGGTTTCGCGCCAGCGCTCCGGGAGACTCCGGAAGATGGCGACGACATCCGTGCGCACAGCAGTCGCTCGTGAACAGGTATCGAGACGCTCGGGTTCAGTGAATTCTCTGCAGACTTCGATATGAGTCGAGGCGTTTTCGGTCGAGAGATACTTCCCCAGTTCGCGATCGGAGGATGTTATTCATGAGGGGGAGCTCCGCCGTTTATGAGGGAAAAGAGCTCGTTTTTGGAAAGTTTTATTTCATTGTCCGTCCAACTGCATAGAAATACGTTGGGAGGATGCGCTGATATCCGTTGTCACAAGTGACGATCAACCGAGAGTGGCCTTGATGTCAAGACAGAAGAACGATTGCTTGTCCGAGGGGTCGATGAATTTGGCATTGACCGCGTAGTTTCCACTGACTAAGAATTTCGCAAGTCCGGGCAGAGTCGGGAAGCTGAGACTGGCGTTCTCCTTCCTCAGATTCGTCTCTGGGATGGGACAGACGCAGGGTTTACCCTGAAAATGATCTCGGTCTTCAGTAGAGATACTTATGAGGTGTTCAATGTTCCAGGAACCTCGCAATCTCGACTCGGGGATCGGAGGGTCCAGACTCTCGCTCCGAAAATTATGGACTTTCTCGTACCTCGGGCCAAACCGTGCACAAATCAAAGGTCGCCCCAGGTTTCGACGATTTCAGGAGAAGTTTGCAGACATCGTATTCGCTGTGGACCAGAAAATCATTGAGGAGGAATGAATCAGAGTTTCATTATTCCCGTATGAACTCTCGATCGCGGCCATGCAAGAATCCTTGCGGATTCATGACTCCGATTCGGATTCGAGAAATATCAGTGCCTTTGCTTTGCGAACGAGAGACATTCTGAAGGCAAAACGAGACCTTAAAATTATCCATTCAGAGCTGAGACTTCTTCTATCCAACAAAGGTCCATTGTTACATGGCCGTCGTGAGCGGAAACATGAGGAGCCTCACCAAGAGCCAGCCTTCATGACGCACGGAATCTTGATGTGTCGATCTTTTCCGAACAGTCTGAAGACTCGATAAACTGTCAGCTGAACCGTGGCGCCTTCCGGGAAAGCTTTCGTGACTTCAATATCGATATCCGCAGAGACATTTGAAGGGAAGAGAATCGGGTCCTTGATGTCAATAACATTGACTGTCCCATAGCCCGACTTGTCAGACTCTGGAAGAAGCTGCGACTTGATGTATTTGGCAGAGCGATGCATCCACTGAATCTCTGAGTCTGTCCTGGAATCGCTCCTTCCGGTATTCTCATCGGTCTCCCATCGCCGCGACCGGCCTTGCGAGGGCGTCCGCTCAAAGTCCGAAGCTGCCGCATGACTCCACCTCAATGGAGGCTCAAAAACTGATCATTCGCTTCGAAAATTGCCCCCCTTCACTCTATGGCGGATTTTCAACTGGATCTCCACTCCTCGAGATGTTCGAACGGAAAATCACCTGGTATCCCGCAGGTCGAACGCCATCACTGACCTCACCATATCAATCACATTCAATCGATTTGAATAATACTCAATAACTTCATTTTAACGACATTCTCGCTTAGCTGCCGACCGTCGACATATCCGCAGCACCTTAAATGAGGTATGCTCACCGCAATTCTTGAAAGTGACACGCTGGGCAGAAGCCGCCCCGAGCAGGAAACAGAAGAGAATAAAGAACTTCATCATTATGCACGACATGAAATGCGGTCTTGAGCGTTCGGCCAATTCTTATATAGCTTTGCAAACAGTCTCAAGCCGCTTTGGAGGATTAAGCTTTATCCAGATGATTTACAGGCGTAAGCGCCGCCAGGGTTTCGTCGACTCTCGAGGAAAGTTATTGTGCTGTAGGAGCCATGGTCGATCGTCAATCGACGCATGTGATCGCAGAGCTTATCCATGGAGACAAGACTTGCAGATCCAGACACGCGTGGCGGGAACCACTTCAAGGTCTCCCGTTCCTCGCCCTGAGAGAATCTCAGCTTCCATGCCCTCGGCTTAGCAATCTATTCAGAGTCAGCATAACTCCCAGGTTGCACGTCATATCCACTTCCATTTCCAGTTCTCGTAAGATGGTACAGCCGTGGAATTTCTCTCAAGTTTCATAGGATGAGATCCCCCGCAATGATGGAAGTACCCTCGGGACGGACCAGATAGCCAAAATTCAACGTCGCCGTATTCACCGGAGAATCGGTTTCCTTTCCGAGGCAAGGCCCAGATAAACCTTGGAGGATGATTGCGGATTCGAACGAGTAGTAAGGCACGTCTTCACGAGGATCGCGGAAGCCTTTTCGGCTCGTAAGTACACGGCGACATTCCCCGCAGGGCGATCCGAACTTCGGTCATAGATTGCGGCTCAGAAAAATACCGCCACACCAGAAATGTGGCGCCGGAGCCTCCTTGGACCTCGGGTCGTCACGTTTGATCACTTCTTCGTATACCGCAACCAGCGATCGTAAAGGGCATATTCATGCAGTTTTGAAGCTCTGAGCGTTTTGATCTTTGACAACTGACAACCTTGAGGGTAATCAATCTCCTTCCAGCGAAGACAACCCTCCTGAGAGACTCAATGGCCAGTACATGCTGTAGCTAAACGTCTCGAGCTGGATAAATCGATGGAAACGCTCGTGCGCCGTCTCGGTTTCCATGGCTGAGGATCAGGTAGTATCCGACCCTGTTGGAAGAATCGTAACGCCGAAGCATGCGTTTGCGAGCTCTCCCACGAAGTCGATATTTGTGCCCGCGACTGAGTTTCGGACCGATAAGTAATCCCAGCTGGAGAATAGTCGTTATAAGGTTATCGTCCATGGAGCCGCAGGTGTAGACAAGATCGGAGCTATAGTTTGCCGAGACAGCGTCACAGGCGAAATAGAAATCACAGCAGAGAAAGCAGATGGCGTGATTCGGAAAGGGTTATACCTCGGCAGATAGCTGGGAACCTAGAACCTGGTCGAGCATCAGCCAGCAGCCGCTGAACTCCTCCACATATATGTGATACTATTTAGTGAGTCTCATTGCGATTGAAGGAAACAAAGGGATGCGGCTTCGACCATATTTTATTGAGAGAAGGTCTCTGAGCTTCTTCGCTTTTCAGCCCTCCTTCGTTGCACCTGGAAAAAAGAACTTTTTTCTGCGCGTCTTCCACTGTCGGAGAAATATCTAAAAGAGTGGTATCCTCCTTTTTGTCATAGCGAATAATATGTTGACAAACCTCCTCGATATCTCAAGAAGTTAATGATGAAAGATGTCCCTGGAGGCTCAGCCCCCGCCAAAGCCGCAGAAACTACGAGCCATACGATGAAGGCCACACATCCTTCGAACCACTTCATTCGGACTGCGAACTGTGTGCGCTCGAACATCAAAAGCGTCGCTCGATCCCATGACAGGACTCTTCTCGTTGAGATTCCGATATTTAGAGAGTAGGAATGTAGGCCGCTGGTCAGGTGTGATCTACTTCTCCACAAAAGTGCATTGGATCCTCCTCATTTGAATCTGTTTCTGTAGGCCTCTCCGCGGGATGTCACGCCACAGCTTGTTTACTAATCTCAATTCTGTAGCGAAAATGCCATGAACGATTCCGCTCCGCTCGATCCGTGCCTATCAGCGATCGCCGATCGGTCTCTCATACACCTATGTAGATCGATGCACGAAGATTTGTTTTTTCCGGGGAATATTCTGAATCAGTGTTCAGCTTCAGACGCCGAGTTCGGCGGTCGACGCTTCACTCTACTGGATTATCGAAGATCTCGTGCTTCGCATAAGCAGATCTCGCATGTACATGTCTCGGACTAGCATCGCCCAATAGGCGCCCAATAGGTCCAGCCATCGGCGACTTCTGAGCTATTCAGACTCCGTGGAAGCACAGTTTCGGATCTTGGTCTGGAATTGACTGCTCTTCCTGCGCTGGAAACCATGTGAATAGCGATGAAGCTGACGGGATCCACTACTTCTCCTGAAAAATGCCCGAAGGCCACAAAATCTTGACCCGTGGGGTCTCTCGGAGCGGAGTCCTGCTGGAGGCGACGCCTGCTGCGGGCTGCGGTGACATTGTAGGGATCACGCCACCTCCCATACGGCTCTCTATTCATGCACGAGAAAGTATTTCTGTGCTGCGGTTTGCTCCGAGGTCTTATCTATCCTCGAAAACTCTCTCGTTTCGAAGAATCTCCCGTGACCAGGGTTCGAGCCTACAACGGAATCAGCCCGCCATCCTCCAGTGAGCGTGACCTCTGTGGTTGGGCTCGATTTACCGATTCCCTTTCAGCCCCATCTTTGTGCTTTACGCTCCTTGTTCGCAGTTTCCAGACAGCACAGGCAACAGCACCGAGAAAGATACGGTGGTGAGGTTTGCTGGAGAGCTCGGAAGGCCCGCGGGCTGAGATGAGGAATAACGCGTCTCATACCTTCAAATAGTCATTTTTATGTACAATCCCATACTTCGGGTTATTTACACTATGAGATTAGGACCGATAATATATGATTTATATCACACTACTGACTGGATTATTTTACTCGCTGCTTAAGTTTTTTACATTGTTCGATCTGATGCAAGACGCTCGAAGTACATCGCACATTGTTTCTTCTCCGTCTGCTCGGATTTTAAAGCTTTCTTTACCAAAGTTCTTCTGCTATATAGGTATGTTGTATCCCCGTCTCCGATCAACTTCCTCCCCCTCACTCAGGGGTGAGTATTGCAGCTGGAGTCAGTTTGGCACTCGACGATTTCAATGTATAATTGCATGGAGACGATCTTCCCATACGACGCGTATATTGCCTGTGGAGACGAAACGTCATATGAACTCTGTGGAAACGTTATGATCCGTTGGAAGAGAGCCACGAGGAGAATTTCCGCATTAAGCAGACTGCTCACCATACGGGAGGAGACCGCCAAGAGCAATGGCTGCCACTCCGCCGCGGAATTTATTCGATTTCGGAAACCTGAAAAGAAACTCCGGTCACCCTCACGGTATGATCGCTTCATGACTCATGACCTGCTCCTCCAATAATCCGAATTGTCCAAAATACATATAATCGTTCGGAATGCGCTGATGTGACTCACCTTCAAAGAATGAATCGAATTATTGAGTACCGTGCTGCCGAACGACGCACGAACCCCGCCGGACTTCACGCCGCGTCCAGCGGAATAAGCCCCTTCGGCGTAGGCATATGAAAATTTTCTGAGATACACGACTGGTGGTCAGGTTCGAAATTATTCGGAATAATGTCGGAGTCGAAATCGATGGGTTCGCGGGCCCGACTCACAGACGTATGCGGGTGGTCTTCCCTGTTGTGGGCTTCCAGCATGCTTCACGGTTCCGGCAAGTACGAACCATCATCACGGACTGTTCCCGAAAAATTCAGCGGCGCTATAGACGGCCCGGAAGTCGCATCAAATTATCGACGGCCCCCAAATAATGTTTTTGTTCTCTCTGATGAGCCGTTGCTGTTTCTCGTATCAGGCGCATGAAGATATTCCATACAATTTTCGAAGGTAAGGTCCTACGGCAAAGTTCGTTTTCTCTCGAAGAAGGAGTTGGATCAAAAGTTGACTTTCAGCTCCTTGAGCTTCGATTTCCAAAACTCTTTCTTCATTTCAACAATTTCCATTTTCTTTTTGTACAGCTCCATTCTGGCGTTGTGTTCCTCGATCTCATGTCGCACTTGCAGATCGGCGAGCTGGACTTCCGCTGGGGCAGTCAGAAGCGAAAAGTCGCCGTTCCTCGGGTCGTCCGATATGCTGCTCGGAGCATCGTAGCTGATATCTTCGTGGATTTCGACGTTCGATACGATTTGCTCGACTCCGTTAACCTCGTGCAATTTCTCTTCTTTCATAACCCTGTCAGCCCGCGTTGCCGTTTCGATTTCTTGTCCTGCCGGAGAAAGATGGTCGTCACTTCTGACTTCCGTTTTCACTTCCGGGACGAGTACTTTCGTTATGGACACGTTCGTGACGGCACTGGCTGGGATCGGAGGGGAATTTTTCCCATCTCGAGCCGCTTTCTGCACGGTTAAACCCAGTTTGGCAAGGTTCTGTATTCGTAGGCCCTGTTCGGGATTGTAGAGGATGGTCTGTATGGGGGTTCCTCCTTGCTTCGGTATATTGAGCAAGGCGCACACGCCGTTCACGGGTCTCGGGGCGGGAGTTCCCGCTAGTAGGGTGAGGGGTCTGGGCGATAGGTTTCTCGGCGCGGCGGCCGTGCTGGATTTTTTTGCCGGAGGCGAGTCTCCATCCGACGCTGGGCCGTCCTTGCCCACACATCGATGACGGAGCATGCCTCCGGTACCTTTTTTACTCGAGTACGTCACGAAGCTCTTACAGTGGACGCATCGCGCGAAATCCTTGAGATGGTTGTCGAGATACACGAGTTCGAAGTCTTTCCAGGAGGCACTTTTAGCGTTGAATTTGCTCACAAAACGAAACCTCTGCGGCTGGCGACGAAATAACTGGTTGATAGCATCCTTCGAATACGGATCGATGGTGCCATCCGGCGGGGCCGCAACGCTGGCGACGGTCGCCGGCGTTACCGAAGAAACTGCACTCATTTCACTCACTGCATTGTCAACTCGCTGAGGAGGATGAGGAGACGCCGCGTGAGCATCCGGAGCTCAGGATCAGCGTGACCCCCTCACCCAACACTCCTAGCTACCGATCGATCCCCACTGCACAAGTGAATCTGATTCTTTAACAACACCGGCTCCGATGCCGCTCACTGAACGCTGGAGGGGTGCGCGCGCGGCTCGATCGCATGTTTTTCTCTCGGAAGTCCCGCTCGGACATGTTACTGATCGACTCGGCATCGAAATTCCAATTTGGAAATATCGTATGGAACGTTTTGCCGGATTCGTGAGTGCGGGCTGCATGGCTCCGCAGAACCGGGAGTCGAAAGAGCGGAGAGTGAGGAAAGGACGACGGGAGCGTGTCCTGTCCCCGCGTGACTCTTTCGCCTCACGAGCGACCCCACGGACTGCACGAAGCTACCCGGAGTCTACATCGAGCAAGAAGCCCATTGGAAATTGGCGTTGCTGGGTATTCGGCATTCCGACATTACTCACCTACCTGCGCAATATATTGGTATATCGACTCTACCGAGCTCTAATCCCAATCAAGCCAACGATAGATGAGCACATCCTTTCGGAACAAAGTCGTCGAAGGAAACGTTCATGGGGGTTAGGGCGATCGGTGGCACGAGCTTTGGTCGGATGCATGCTCAAATCGGACCCATGTTCTGAGAATATTCCGACGGATCGAGAGAGGGCACCATCCCCTCCGACCCCCACGGGATTTCTGTGAGCCTCCAGATGGAAAACGCTCGCGTTCCGCACTCTTCGATCTGCGGACATAGATCGCGAGGATCTTGTTGAATTAATTTGGAGTCTCAACATAACGTATATGAACGGAGCAAGACTTCGCGGGAATAGAATCTATGCTTCGATGAGAAGATATCTCAGAGAAACTTGGGTCCGAGAAGCGTACGACAGAGAATTTCGCACGGTGGAGGAGCAGAGGATTTTCTCAATATCGGCAGCGTGCTCTCCATTCTGAGTCTGAAAAATCTATTCATAGCACCTCATCAGCAGACTGATTTTTTTTCCTTATCCGCTTTTCCTTCATTCTTTGTTTCTAATCACGAACGTCTCCGAGCCCCAAGGAACGCTCAGCGGAGCGCTCGGCTCGCCGATTGAGTAGCCGACTGCTAGCCCCGAAACAGCGATAATCTGCATGTGACAACGGCCAGGTGCTCGATGCAAATCTGCATGCGATTCGCAAGACGCTCTGACTTTTCGACCATTCGTAGATTGGAAGGAGCAATGACTCTGGTAGGTAGTTGAACTAGGGGTCGGAAATCAAGTTACTGCTCGAACAATCCGAAGGGATGTAAGTGGAGCATCTGACTGAGTTGAGAGAATAGGATCTATTCTTCGGAGGAGCCCCCATGTCCCCGGAGGGACCCGTGGACCGAAAAATCCTCATCGGAGCACGGAATGGGGCTTCCGAAACGGATGTTCGAGTATCACAGGTGAATCCGGGTTCGAATGGTTAGCAGTCTCGCGCTCAGAAACGCCACAAAACGCTCTACATCACGACCTAAAAAGAATGGGGAGGTCCGAAGGGGAAAAAATAGTAATTAAATCCGAACTCATCTTCCGTAAAAGCATTGAATATATCGATGGGCTCCCACGGTATGCCCTAGAAAAACGAAAAGAAAAGAAGACGGGCACCCTCCAATTGGCATTTATGATCTGAGCAGAGGAAACTATCATAGGGGATACGGTATGGACCGACCCCAGTCCAGGAGGATATCCTGTGAAGCATGACTTGAATGATCTTCTCCGCTCGAAATATCGGAGGGAAAGTCTTCTCCCGCTGCCCCTCGGCTTCCCAGCTGCCCCTGCCGGCTGGGCGGGCGGCTCGTCACATATGTATAATGATGAGCCGCGATAAACATGAGATATACTGGATCGCCTAGGTGGCAAACCCTAGACAGATTCAGGCTACGAGACATCCAAGACGTAAGTTATTTTTAGCCGCAACTATCGATGCGTGGTCAGCGGAGTCCACTGAGGTCACGTCGAAGTTCGGCCGACCTAAAAAGCATGAAATTCTAACGTTCGAAGTCGATTTGGGTGCATTAAGGGGGAGGAAGTCGGTCTCCTCCCGGTTCATCGTGTTTTCCAGATCGGAGGATCGTCCGCAGTCACTAGGCTTTGCCCTGAGAGAAGATTCGGTGAAAACTCCCATCGTCGGGACGATTGAGCTCCGCTCGGTGTCATTATGTTTCACCGTGAATACGCTCTCTTCGTTCCCGCCCGTCGAGAGCTGCACCTTTCTTCGACGGCCAGCGGAGTGAATGGATCAGCTTCGAGGCGAGACCAAAGACAATTGTTTTGATATGAAATAGAGATCCATTCCTCCAAACTGACAAGGCCGCTCTCGAACATATTCCCGAAACGAGATTGTTGGCTCCGGATCAATCGGCGCTTCCATCTTACAGCTGCTCATAATCGTACCCATGGAATGGCGATATGTGTGGTCCTGCGTAACGGAGAGTCGTAAGGAGAAGTGTACGATGCTACTAGACGAGAGAGACGTTTCCAATAAAAAGTTATCCTTTACGTCTTTCTCTCCTTGCAGGACATCCTCTTCAACGAACAGTTTCCTCAATGTCTTGTTCTGGACAGGTGAGTAGAACACATCCGAGTTATCAGTGCTAACTGTGGAGAGTGTTGATGAGCATCCGGAACCTTCGGAGCGCAGAACTCCATTCCAGGAAATAATTCGAAGTGACCAGGCTCCGTGAGCGAGGGACGTGATAGAATCACTCTGAAGTTTTGCTGGACCTTCTGATGCTTCGACTGAAGTGACATTTTTTCTATACATCACGGAAATCCTCACGCACACTGGTTCCCTGCATTTATGCGATCATTAACCCTGATCCGACTTAAGTGTCGGTTCTAGTCTCAGGTCATGGAATTTCCCTCATCCCTGGGTATGTAGGAGGCAATCCGACCACGGACGCCGCCCTGAAGCTGCCCTGCATATAATCTCCTAGGATTCAATCTTCTAAACTCAATTTCAAAGCTTCGAGGGCATCCCCATCGCAAGCCACTCCAGAGGAAGTTGGACTCTCCGCCCTGAATCGGAGAGAATTCGTCAATAGGGGTGGTCAGCCTCGAAACACCCCCTCCACTCCCCACACCCTCTCCCCCGATCTCGGCCCTCTCCCGAAATCTCTCGTCTCCTTCTCACGCCTCGCTCCGAAGGAGGAGGGTAGCAACATCCTCCGATACCGAAACCACCGTTCTCCTGGACTGGTTCGAACCCAGAACCTGGCAAAACGGCGCAAACCAATGGGAACCTCGCTGTGAGCGAATTATTGTGCTATCAGGACGTCTCCGCGGTAGACGGCCGTCCCCCAGTGGACAACGCCGCCATGGAGACTCCCCCATCGACCTTAACGGAATCGGATGACTGTTCCAATCGTGAGGGCGAGACGGTCACTTTCATGGTTCCCGATCAGTCGTTGCGAGCATTCAAAGCCTTGCGCAGGTGAGTCTTCAGAAGCTTGCACTGGAAAGATTCTGTCCGCTACTCTGGATCCCCGCGCGAGGCGCTGTTGGGATTTTCCCGCAATGCGAGCAACACAGAGATTCTCTGCAACTTGTTGGTATGCCGAATTTATTATCCTCTCTTCCTCCATCGGAATGCTGTACGAACAGATGCAGATAATGGTTCCCGCTCCCATTGATGGAAACAGATCCAACAGCTCCGCGGAAATCGTGTTCTGATCACCTCCCCGGAATCTTTCCTGATCGTCTGTGCCGAGCGGGGAACATTCGATGTATTCAAATTAGCTCAGAGAAAGCATTCTAAAGGAATTAATTTTTTTTCTGAAGAATGTACAACGACCACGTCCTCTGCGACGTGGCTCTGCAGACCGGATCCAAGCAAATCCATTGTCACAGGTTGATACTGGCTTGTGTTTCGCAGTATTTCCACGCCATGTTCACATCGGATCTGAAAGAATGTTCGCAATCGGTGGGTGCTGGTCCCTTTTCCCGATTTTCAGAGAAATAACTCATCACCGAGGATTCGGAATGGAACCGAGTTCGTTTCTTCGCAGGTTGTGGAGATCCACGACATAAACTCCGAAGCGCTCCAGCAGATCGTCGACTTCGCGTATTCCTCGCAAATCACGTTGTGTCCCCAGAACATTCAGTCGCTCTTACATGCGGCCTCGGTGCTCCAGATAGACAATTTGGAGCTCGCGTGCTGTCAATACATGAAGGACAAAATTATGGCGCATCATAACTGTTTGGGTGAGTCTTCGCTCATCCCTTGGCGGGTTCTCTTTTTCGCTTCGAGGAACACTGCTAAGTCCGGAGGACATGTGGGGCGGGATGAGAGGTTTTATTTCTTGTCGCCCGCAATATCACTGCCATTCGTGGGGGGCCGATCGGGCGGAATCGAGTTTTGAGAACACGTAGAAAGAATACCGTCCTACTCGAAGTCGTCGACGCGGGCATGTGAAGTGCAGGAAGAGAGTGTTGCTCACGGGGCCTCCAGGGAGGGCACGGATGTCGTGACTGAACACCGTTTAGACTCGAGCTGGCAATGATTACGCTTTGTGCAATGGCGTGATATTGCATTCCTCCGGAGCTCCGCAGTTTTGCCTACAGGAGGGAGGACGGAAAGAATGGATATTTTATTCAAAGCTCACGAATTCGGAACAGGAATACCTAGTTCTCCATCCCGGGAATCCGAATATGTACTCCTCCGATGCCGGTTCGCCCACGAATGAATTTGGGGGGAACTCGAGGAGCTCCACCAAGTGACTGATTCATTACTCGGAATCGATTTTCCTAATAAGCAGAATTTTCTTCTATCGGAGTTCCCGAAGGGGAGCGGCGATATCCTTGCGGTTCCGAGTTCATCGGAGCTTTCCACGCGCTGCTGTGGAGTAATATTTGTGCCATGCTTCGAAATCCCCGCTCCTCGAGGGCGCGATGGCAAAGACGCAAACTCGACGAATCGGCGTCGTGCCGAGACACAATAAGACAGTCTAATGACAAGCTTCCGGACGCCGGAATACACCCCGCCCCAACCCCTGGTCTTCCGGAAGCATTGAATGGAAGTACGGATAGTGTGGAATATGGGCGAGGCTTCCATGGTCGAAGCGTGCCGATGGTTGTCCGAATGATTCGGCTCCGCCAATAAATATTCAAAAAATGTAAAACCTCTGCATCAAGTCGGATTCTTCGCCTTTCCTGGATAGGGTCATTAAGGGGGAGAGGTTATCCGAGGAAAAGTATACCACTCAGACCACACGGGACGATGCTAAATCCTTCCATATCGTTGCCCTTTCCGAGGTTCGATGTCTCACGGTTGGCTTGAGGGTGTGCGACACTCTCACTTCACGATGTTCTAGTTCGGACAACGACCCCTTGCCGAGCAGTATCATGAGTGCACTGTTCTTCATCCAACAGGAATATGGCATTTCGCAGCAGCCCACGGCCTCAACGGGTTAGCTGAAGCTGCTTACAAATTCATCCTTCGAAACTGGCCGGATATCACGTGTTACGGGGGCGAAGAGTTCCTAGCCCTGGACGCTTCGACCCTGGAACGACTTTTGGAATCGTCGAGTCTCTGCGTAGACAATGAAATTCAGGTGATACATTCAAGATGTCTTTGTCGTGTTCTATCCCAGGAGCGGGACTGCGAATGACGTTAAGCGGCTCACGCGTGTCTCTCTTCGGAAGGTCTATGAGTGCGTGCTCAATTGGCTGAGCTGTGGGAATCGAATGAGCGACAAAAGCTTAGTGTCTCGGATCCTCGCCAAAGTTCGCCTGCCTTTATTGCCACCTTGTTATCTGAGGAACACGGTCATGTTCGATTTTTCCGACAACATAGAATGCAGGTGCGTTGAGACTTTCCCCGTCAGAGCACTCCCTTGCCTTGGAGGGCTGGAGAGGTTGGGACTCTTTCAAAAATATAAGAGCCGGCCTTGTCCCTTATCGGAAGACCGTCCGCAGGAATCTAATTGACGAAGCCAAGGACTATCAACTCTGGAGGGCATCTCTGCTGTCTGGCGATGCCCCCATCTCATCGGACCGTTTTGAGCCTCGGAAGAGTTATGCGGGAATTCTGTTCTGCATCGGAGGACGCGATACTTCGGGCGATCCCTGCGCATCGACCGAATTCTATTCTGTGCTGGACAACGTCTGGTTGAAAGGGGTGGACATGCGTATCAAAAGGAGGCATGTCGCTTCTTGTAGCGTCGCAGGTAAGGACCGTCAGGAAATTCTCCATTCGCAGACACTATTCCAGAATCGAAGACACGGAGGAAATGATTCTTGGCTCGAGGGGAACCGAGATGTTCCCTGCTATCGGAAAAAAATTCCCGTTCAGAGGAAGCCATTCCGGCGTCTTGCTTGCTCCCAGGTAAAGTTTATGCGGTAGGAGGCTGCGACGAAGACAACCGCCATTTATGCTCCTGTGAAGTTTTCAACCCAAACACATTCCAATGGAAATCAATATCACCGATGAGGACTCCTCGGAGAGGTCTTGGAGTTTGTGCCGTCAACCTCGAAACGGGTCCAATCTACGCTGTCGGTAAGAAGCTTCGATTGATATCATTCGGAGATAACTTCTTATGAGGAGCGGATTCATGTCGTAGACTTATGGGATAATCTCTCTCTTCCGGGATCAGGGGGTTTGGACGACATCAATTTCTTCAATACTGTGGAACGATACGATATCATGAACGATGCGTGGACGTCTGTCGCGCCCATGCTTACCCCGAGAGGCGGTGTTGCTGTAATTGCAGTACAGGTTAGCATTCGGAGTCAATAATAATTGATAATAATCCGACTGCCGATTCTCAAGGGGATCAGCCTTGACGAAATCCTATTCTACACAGGGCATTATATACGCGTTCGGCGGCAACGTGGGTCAAACATCGCTATCGGCTTGTGAAAAGTACGATCCGCATCTCGATCGATGGACTCATACGGCATCGATGAAGCACAGACGAGCTGGCGCTGCAGCTGTAGTCGGATTAGTGGATAAATACATTTATGTTTTCGGTGAGATATCGGATTCTATTCAGCGGGAATGAAAATCTCCAGGATTTGCACACTGGCGCGATCTCTCACGGGATACCGTTTCAGGAGGATTCGACAACAATATACCGTTGAAGTCCGCCGAATTGTACGACTTGGAGAGAGACGAGTGGACTCAAGTCGCTCCCATGTCTGTCGCTCGCGGGGGAGTGGGTGGTGCGGCTCTTGGGAATCGAATTTACGCCGTTGGAGGCCACGACGGCACCAAGTACCTCGAATCAGTGGAAGTCTACGACCCAATACTGAACACGTGAGCAGCGTTCCGAAAATTCACCCCGTGCCCCCCGCAGCCATTCTCGCCCCCTCTCCCCATAGTTTCCCGCACCGAGCGTGGGTCTCAAATATAGTTCCTCCTTACAGATGGTCCTTCGCGCATCCAATCTGCAGGCGGCGTGCCGGAGCAGGTGTCACCCACTGCACTGGCTCTATTCTGAATCTGATGCAAAAAGTCCGTCAGCTCGATCTTAATAGCGGGACCACAACCGGCAGATCGAAGTCAGATTCATCGAAATCAATCCAAGATCAGGGATCTAAGCTGAAGATTATGAGCGAACAAAGCAATGATCAATCGGTGAAGTTTACGTCGACGAACTCGCGCTAGTGCTCCTGGTGATCTTGTCTACCTCTAGGTGCGCGGTCGAGAATATTTCTGCACAATATGCGTTCCTCTCAGCTTCTCGGAGTACGATTCCGGAAGCGGGAATTTTCTGTCCACTCTTCATCGTTCCATTTGCCTATAAGAATTTCGAATAATCTCGAAGTGCCCATCTTGAGGTGCTCATCGGTGTTGTGTTAATGATCAGCCGTGATGTTGTTTCGGAGAATACCGTACTCGGAGAAATCGATGCATATTGGGAACGAAGAGGTTTTCGTTAAGGGCGAGTCATCGGGTTGTCTCGTACTCATGATTTTGGAGAGTCTCTCCGGCTTTCATTGTTGATTAGCTCGGGGTTCCGTCCCCGGAATACACCATGTGTACATAGTAATTTCCCTTGAGCATTTTGTGTACCAATGTCACAATCGGATCATGTGGTATCTACGCACATGCAGGAGAACGATCAAAATGAATGTTCGTTTTTTGTCTGTTGCCATAGTTCAGCTCGCGAGGAGCGCTCGACAATGGTTCGTCCGAAATCCGATCTATAAGTCTCGTTCATATATCACCGAGGCGGCATATCGGGTCATTATGCGACCAATAAAACGATTCAACTGGACCTTCGGAGAGATCTTCCATCTGTTCTTCAGTCGAAGTTTCCGCTCATCGAGATCCAACGAATATCACCCGAGGAACGATCTCCAGCGGAAGATTCAAGGTGCCAGTGCTCGCATCCGATCTTTGAGGACCGTGAAAATACAAGTTTTCCAAGAAGGATTTATTCAATAGATTTTCGATCCGCCGCCGCCAGCGCATCGAGCGCGACCCGTTTCTCCTCAGCTGGGGAAACCGGCGGGTTCTTGGTTTCGAATTTTTTTATTGGACCGTCGGCGTCACTAGCGCTCTGCTCCTCTCGAACAGGCGATTGGGTTGCGGTGGCGGAAGCTTTGAAAGCCACCTCACCTTCGTCACTTCTGGATTTGCCTTTGTGGGCGAGACTCATGAACGCCTCAGCTGGTTGGAGATAAGATCCTTGCGACGAATCCGAAGAAGGGACCTCTTGTGACCGAGACTCCAGCAAGATGATCGGCGTGACACCGTCGTCCGCCGAGAACGCGGAGGAAGTTTCCGACTGGGGTGGGGGGAAAGTCTTGACACCTTGCTTTCTGGGCTTCGGGGCACCAGACATGTCGTTCTCCCCGGGCTTCTTCCTGCTGGCTGGCTCGCGTTCCGCATCTGTCGAATTAGACGACGTGGCTCTGAGACGATAATTTCGTCTGGGAGTACCGTGTCTCCTCCTTGCGCGTGCACTGAGAGGAACTGACGAACTATCGAGTTTTTTCGCGAGGTCTAGGTCCAAGCCAATTTTTCTCGTGTTTTTCTCCCGTCGTCTCCACATAGAACTCGTGTCGGTTCTGTCGGCTGGAAGGTTCCTCTCGGTGCCTTTGGAAGCTATGCTTGTTTGGACACACTGTGTTTTCTTCGTTGCGGCTGGTTTGAACAAGTGTGCCATGAAGTTGTCGTCCGATTTTTCTGATTTAGAGCTGTTGGACTCTCGTAATGATTTCATGATTTTGTCTCGTTTCACTGTCCTCACGGTTATCTTGCTGAAAACAGGCTTCAGAACCGTAGGCTGTCTCCGACCCTTCGATTTCCGTGAACGAGTTTTCGGAGGAGATTTTCTCTGTTTCCGTGAGCGTGTTGTCGGAGAGTTCTGAGGAGAATCTATGGACGGTGGAGTCCTTGAACGGTTCCTTGAACCCATGGTAGTCCCTTTTCCCGAAACTTCGCAGTCAATCAAAGAAGTTCTTAGGGCACGTAGTCTTCTCAATAAACCTTCAAAGCACCGCGATAAGGCCGCAAATTTCGATGAACGCGATTGCGCTTTCTGATTTTATGAATTATGAACCTTTTTTTCTTATCATTCAATGGCTCGATTCGAGCGGAGCTGCTGACCACGAATGATCGTTAGGCGGGAGTTTCGAATAAATTCTGCGATAGCGGGAGTCTGTCTTCGCGGTCGAGTCGACGATCGTGGAGTCCAGCGAGTCGATGAGGCTTTACGGGCCAGTCGTGCGTTCGATGCAGGTCTTTGCGGTCCCTGGAGAAAATCAGCAGGGAGCATCTTACGATTCGAGAAGAAGGATGATCTTTCAATGCGAAACTCAGCGTTTAATCGACGAAGCTGCGTCCGACTGAATGCGAACATGGATTTCAACGAAGGGCATCCAACAAAGTCCGAGCAAGGAATCGTATCGGGGAGGAGCTTCCTTCTGGAAACACTTCCCGAGAAGAATGGATATCCGAAGAGTCTACCGCAGAGCCATCCCCCGCTGTAGCTGCCTCTCGATCACATTCTGCATCGAATTTGCAACCCAAATGATGGTGTGAGCCGCATTCTGAGTTTCCCCGTGCTCGCACCTGAATCATATATTTTCCCCGGACTAAGAGCACACAGATACTTTCTCTCGTATTCAGCGCTCCCCTGAGTATCTGCATATTTTTTCCAATCTACCGCATGAGTTTCTCTGAGATGTGGGAGAGCTTTGAGCCTCCCTCTCGTTTCCGGAAGTTTTCGAATCCGTCTCGAGGTCCCCGATGGTTGTCCTTCGATGTTATCTAAACAGAATAAACCTGGAAAGCACGGACCCTTACCTGAACGAGTTCCTCCTCCGAGGATTGGAGAGAAACATAAATCGGTCGAAAAATATCCGCTGCGGCTTCCTCGACCCACCTCGGCTCCGACCGACGCCTGAGCTACTAAAATTGAGGATCTCTGGGAATTAGTTCAACCTGTCGGACGATATTCTATGATGGGTCTTAGTTTGCGCACCCGAGTCTATATCCATGAGCCGGGTCGTGCGAGCCTGATGATATTTAAGCCCTCTTGCTGCGAGGTCGAGTAAACGAGCCGACTATGGTAATACGAAGTTGCAGTTTTTGTTCTGAACTTGGGCTGAGGCCCTCCGCTACTGATGCGTATCCGTTGCCACTTGGAGTATCATTCCTGGACGAGTTCGAATGCTGCACCATCCCAGGATAGTTCGTTCTTCGTATCACCGAACCCTCTCCCGCGTGAGGCATGCTTGATTCTTCGTATATGTATCTCTTGGAGCGTCGCTCGAATCTGTGGAAATTCCTCTCAGTATCGATGTATAGCGGATCAGGGAAGAGGGGCGTAAATATCACTCAGATAATTCCCCGTTCCAGTTGACGAGATCATTCACATTCTTCATTCCCATATTCTTCCTTCAGAGGGCCGTCGAAGATTTTAGCCCTCTGCTGATCTCGGAGCCCACTTTCTCACGCAGCGAGATTTCCTGAATTCGTAATATCTTTACTGGTGAATTCATCATCCTCGAGAGCTGGAAGAAGGTGATCTTATTTTGTTCCCACTCGGTACGACCTGATTCCAGCGCTCGCGATGAAGCCAGCGAGGGCTCTCGCCACGCTGAAGGTCGTGGAGGTGTCGGTGGCACATTGCTCTGTGTATTTGCTGCGCGGCTCGAATAACTGTTCCCCCTGCTCACCCCTCACCTAGCACGGGAGAACGACGGGGGAGGGGGGGGGGGGCAACTTTCGCTGTCGACATGCCACCGTTGTTTCTGTAGGCTTTTGAGCCCTCGACGTTCCCGAGGCCCGATCCGGACAGCACCTCATGGATGACGAACACTTTTTGCCCGGAACGAACTGCGCGCTGGTCAAGGGCCGGACGGCCTCCCCTCTTTTCACGAGACACGTCGTCCGACGGAGCCGCGCATGCTCTCCGAGACTCTTCCGCACCCTCTGAAACCTTTAGACCCCCTCCGAAAATTCCCATCACCTCAAAATGCCCTCCTTTCTCCCCGCCTTTTCTGCCTCTTTTCGTCCCTGATAAGACCTTCTCGGGACCTTGGGAAGCCTGCACCACTTTGGCCATGCCCCGGTTCGCAGAGAACTGCAGCGTGTGATCCCACTCAAACATTCTCCTACGATTGAGATACAAAAATGAAGAAGCGTTGTCTCGCCATCGATCACGCTCCGACAGCTGATGGCAAGAATATGAGACCCTCCCTCTACCTCTACGCGGTCGTATGTGTATTCGGCGTCTGTGGAGAGGAATAAAGGGACCATTTAGGCAGGAGCGGCGAGAAAAATTATTTTGCACTTACTCCGAGCGATTCTCACTGATCGAGGATCTCGAACTCACAATAATAACATCATTCCCGAACAGTCTCCGAGGAAGGTGAATAGGTGGATTCCGGATGGGATAGATAACTTGGAACTTTAAAAGGCACCCAAACCGTCAAAGAAGACACGCTCCCTTAGATGTAGATTAAGTTTATTCGAGTTTGGATTATCGTCGTTATCAATTGTAACTCTTGTATTCACTGTATACTTCAAATAAGGTTTTACTTATTGTTGTTTGTTTGTTGTTGTTGTTGTTTCTTTTCTTGTTGTTTCTCGAGATATGTTGCTCTCCTTGTGGTCTTGATAACCGTCGGGATATGTTCCGATATTGAGAATTCGTAGGGGACTATACATCGCAGAGTCTGCAGACGCATTCGCTTGCTTTTTCGCTGACTGACTTGCCGGCTAGCTCGTCGCTGATTGCGCTGTCGTATTTAGGTCTCATGATGATCGGAAGGGTATGTCGGGAGGTATATAAGTAGGTAGGAATTAATCGATCGATCGGCTGTAGACTCTAGCGGCATATCTAGCGCATCCTATGAAGTTATGGATCGACGGTATAAACAGATGAATTAGAGGCGCGTTCTAAGCTCGCACCCTCATAGCACATGCTGAGAATTCAGGGAATATCGTCCTCGCAAGAAATTCTTTTCCTAAATTCACTCATCTATCGGGGTAGAAAGATCTGATTCTGGAAACAGCAATTTACTCACGTCATATCTGTGGATGTAAGACACCGTCGTCCGCCGAGGACGCGGAGGAAGTTTCGGACTGGGGTGGGGGGAAAGTCTTGACACCTTGCTTTCTGGGCTTTGGGGCACCAGACATATCGTTCTCCCCGGGCTTCTTCCTGCTCGCTGGCTCGCGTTCCGCATCTGTCGAGTTCGACGACGAGCCAATTTTTCTCGTGTTTTTCTCCCGTCGTCTCCACATAGAACTCGTGTCGGTTCTGTCGGCTGGAAGGTTCCTCTCGGTGCCTTTGGAAGCTATGCTTGTTTGAACACACTGTGTTTTCTTCGTTGCGGCTGGTTTGAACAAGTGTGCCATGAAGTTGTCGTTCGATTTTTCTGATTTGGAGCTGTTGGACTCTCGTAATGATTTCATGATTTTGTCTCGTTTCACTGTCCTCACGGTTATCTTGCTGAAAACAGGCTTCAGAACCATAGGCTGTCTCCGACCCTTCGATTTCCGTGAACGAGTTTTCGGAGGAGATTTTTCCTGTTCCCGTGAGCGTGTTGTCTGAGAGTTCTGAGGAGAATCTAGGGACGGTGGAGTCCTTGAACCCATGGTAGGCCCTTTTCCCGAAACTTCGCAGTCAATCTAGGAAGTTCTTAGGGCCCGTAGTATTCTCTATAAATCTTAAAAGCAGTCCGATAAGGCCGCCAACATCGATAGACGCGATTGCGCTTTCTGATTTTGTGAATTTTGACTTTTCCGTTGTTTTCTTATCGTTTAATGGCTCGATTCGAGCGGAGCTGCCGACCACAAATGATCGTGAGGCGGGAGATTCGAATACATTCTGCTATAGCGGGAGTGTCTCTTCGCGGTCGAGTCGTCGACCGTGGAGACCACCGAGCCGATGAGGCTTCACGGGCCAGTCATGTGTTCGATGCAGGTCTTTGCGGTCCCCAGAGAAAATCAGCAGGGAGCATCTTACGATTTGGAAAGAAAGATGATCTTTCAATGCGAAACTCAGCGCTCGATCGACGAAGCTGCCTCCGACTGAATGCGAACATGGTTTTCTACGAAGGGCATCCTGGGGACGGAGGAATCGTATCGGGAAGGAGCTTCCTCCTGATGGAAACACTTCGCGAGAAGAATGGATATCCGAAGAGTCTATCACAGAGCCACCCCCCGCTGCAGCTGCCTCTCGATCATATTCTGCATCGAATTTGCAACCCGAGTAATGGTGTGAGCCGCATTCTGAGTTCCCCCCTGCTCGCACCTGAATCATATAGATCATAGCTGAAGCGCAAGAGACAAGCGTCCCGCTTCCACTACAACACGAGAACACAGGGCCTGAATTAGAGCGCCACATAGAGGATTTAAAAAATGGTTTCACCTTCTCGGTCTCCGCCGCAGCTGGAGCTTTCGACGAACAGCGGGATATCAAGAACAAGAGAGTCATCTCGCTCGCCGGATTTCGAGTTAGTTCGCGGAGCCTGAAACTACGATCTCCCCACCCGAGAGATCCATCACATGCTTGACGGCCCCCTGGGCTTTCATCGGAAATCAAGATCTTGGATACGGTCAAAACGACGGTCAAGACTCTGTGCAGTCCATCAGGGTCTTAGCCGTATCATTGAGCTAGGGAAGGGAAAGTTTCTGATTTTCAATTCTGAGCCCCGTCCGCCCTGAAAAAAACACCAATCGGGGTGAGTCCGACAAGAGAGTGTCGGCCCACCTGATGGAGATCTCAAGTCCAGTTCCAGCCATTGTCCATCCGAAAGGGATCGGATGCTCGCCGTCAGTGCATTCGCCGTGCACCGTTCTGCCTCGCTCAGCATGAGATCTCGTTTTCGGTTTCAAAGTACAAACTTCGGCCTGAAGTCTGACAGGCTGATGCCGGATCGAAAAAAGCAAGATCCAGGGTTTGTTGGAGTGGGGGTTGTTGCACATTTATTGTCTGCTCTTATTGTAGAGATAAGGAGCGTCATCTCCGGGTGGAGTGGAGGACTTCGGTTCTCGGGAACAAACATGCGATATCGGTCGCATGCAAGGAATGATACGAACAAGATTTTTTCAGGAGAGTCTCCAGACAGACTTCCCCTTCAATTGGTTGAGCTAAGTTTCTAAGTCCACCGATGCTCTGTCTTGGTTCATGTACTCCTGTAGGGCGTACTTGACTTCCTCGCAGCAGTCGACAATCGTTTGCGTGACCGTGATCAAAGTCTTTCGCATCATTGCTAGCTCGTTGGCGAGCTCGTGGTTCACTTCCGGGCTGTCTTGGAGCCTCTGTTCAGCGAGTTGTTTCCTGGCGGTCACTCGCAGCTTAGTTTTCTCGGCTTCCTGGAAATAAGTTCCGGGTGATAATCGTGGAAAGGGTTGACTCCTGGAACGGCCCTGATCGAAAGGCAACATTTCTGAGAGGATCTCCCCGAAACTTTCCTAAGACTTCGAGGGCATCGCTCACGAACCTGCAAGTGCTGGATGACTGAGGCGAGTTTCGGATCGATCGGTCTGATTCTCTCTTCGAGTTCAATGATTCCTTCGGATATCCTACGGAATTCTTGAGTTACGTCATGGACCAGTTGGCGGAACTGAGGAAAATTATAGTTGGGCGCGGACGCAAGGTATAATTTGTGCCCCCTGGAAAGGGAAATGGTAAGTCTTCAAAAATCCAATGAGACGCGATTCATCGTGTCTGACTGAATGGAGCAGTGAACGTCCCTTCCAGAATCGCCGCACCCGATTCCGTGTCCAGGGTCGCGCATTGACAGTGTAGATATTTCGAGCGAGCCTCGTCGAGTATCATATTACACATCTCGAACGCAGAGTTCCACGAATGGTTTGCACGTGGGTGTTCCGCGGCTCCCAAAATAAGACCAGTGTTTCGAAACCCGAACTAGACCACCTTATCATGCGCCAATTTTTCTGAGATATTCATGAACGAGACAGGCGTCATAATGGAGCACATGGCGAAGAGGTCAGATAAGGTTTATCCAAGCTTGTTCTTTATATCAACAACGACATTCTTCTGCGGCGGAGCGGGGAGACGCGAAGCGTTTCGGGAGCAGTTTGTAGGTGACAACTATGTATGATGCGGGGAAGCTACTCACTCGTGGAATACATTATAGGTGTAAATCCGCTCCTCTTGAAGTGCCTTGAACTTTTGGAGCAGATAGATCACGTCACCCTCGGCAACATCCAACTGGAAGCGGGAAAAGAGAGAATAAAGTTCTATACCAAGATCTGTATGCTAGACCAGAGCTTGTCACCAGGTCAAATTCGCGACCTAAGACTTCGATACTCGACGATGGAGGCTCCGAGGAGAGGAAAACTGGAAGCACGCGGGATCTTCTCAACTCAAAAGACGCTGCCCCGAGATCAAAATTCGGGACATTGCTTAGTGCGACCGCCAAGATGTAGATCCCCGTCCCTGGCTACCTGGATCAGTCACAGGAATAATGACCAATTAACTCAACCGTACCTTGCTTCTCACAGTGTCCAAGGGATACATCCTCTTCCAGTGCCAACCGACCTTTAATTTCTCTAGGAAGCCGGCTCCAAGCACCCGGGCTCTCACGTGGAGAGTTGCGCCCCCAGGAGTCGCGAGGGCGCCACATGAGCTGCGGGAGGACGAATTTCCGCAATGGGGAAACCGGCTCCCGACTCTCGACCTCCCTTCGGCTCGAATAGAGTGATATCACGCCTATTGATGGCACATTGAACTGTGTCCAGTGTCCAAACGGGGGCCGATGTGTTTCGCGAGGCTCTGCGACAGTGCTCTCTGATCGACGCACTGGGCTCGAAAGGTAAATCAGAACCGCAAATTATAATGTTCCAAGACTTTTGACGTGAAACGTCTTTAAAAAGGTTGGCCTAGTTTTTTTACCAAAAGTGTGACGAAACTTGTCCATTTTCTACGCGTCAAACGTCTTTAAAAAGGTTGGCCTAGTATTTCACCAAAAGTGTGACGAAACTTGTCCATTTTCTACGCCCTGCAGCTCCGTGCCTTCTACACCGATCGACACCCGGTTGGTGTCTTTAGATAGCAAATTTACGGCACATCAATTTCATATACTTCCTACGGAGTTCCCACACGCACAGATCGACTCCTGGAGGCAAGAATGACACCCTATGCGCCCTATTCGCCCGTGATCATGGCTCCTCCTGGGAGAGGGCGATTTCAAATTTCCAGAGCGCGCGTAACGACCCAATGGCTAGCAACGCAATTCCGCATTCACCTCTTTCAAAACTCAGAAGAAGATATTTTCCACTCAGAAGAAGATATTTTCCACTCGGAAGAACATATTTTCAACTTAGAAGGAGATATTTTCCACTCAGAAGAAGATATTTTCCACTCAGAAGAAGATATTTTCCCAACTTCGGTGAAGAGTTCGACTTTACCAGTGATAATGAGACCTCAAAGTACGAGCTGAGTTTAAAGGGAGAATGACGATGCTCGAGTCTTACGAATGGCCATTCCGACGACGTTTCACGTCCTCTACACGGTAGTGGCTCTGCTGATACCTCTGAATTTCTTCGAGACATGACAATCATTGGATCCAGGACCAAGGAATACGTCGTGGACACCATGACGTTCCAACACGAGATCGCATTTTCAGGAGATGAGTCCACTGAATTAGCTTTGGGCCAGGGAAGGAACGGCACCGGCGCACGAGAATCTCGAGTGTCTTTTGCGGTTCTACGATCCACGTCAATTGTTCACTAACAGCGAGTTTCCGGTCGGAGGACCATGAAAAAATGCCTCGCTTTTCAGTGTTCGACGATTCTCCGTTTGTCCCGTCGTCTGTAGTGAGCCGAAAGCTCATTCTCCCAGACGCGTGTTGGAAATTGTCGGAAGTGTTCATCAGGTCACCATTCGATGGATTCCGGGGGAAATTTCCTCACATTCCCGCCCTTAGTCCGATCGGCCCTCCTAACGGGTCCGGAATCAAGATCGGAATCTCATGGAGAATCCAACTGCGGCGTCTGTGCGGTGGCAGCTCGGGTGCTAGCGCGAAACCGCGCTGTGCAGGGATTAAGGATACGTACCGCCATTTTCGTCGGAGAGACAACGCTACAGGCTAGATTCACCAATAAGTACCGTGATATGAGTCACGTTGACGACAACCTAACGCCGGAGTTTTCTGAGGGCGACTGTGATCCTCGCTCTGGATGCCTCCGCAAAAATCATTCCCCGGCGGATTCGCGGTGCGGCTCTCCATGCGCACGAGCATGTAGATCCACCGAGAGGAGACCTCGCAGCGAGTCCTGATCATCTGGAAAGCTATTCCAGGCGACGGAATCGAGCCGGATGATCTGACTGCAGGTTGATCCGATACGTGCGATTTGTCCACGATCGTGGGGCGTTGTCAAGTTGTTGGTTCTGACAGGCACGTTGATATCGAATACGTGCGACCATTTTTCGGCCACATCCTCGCCGAATAATTTTCTGTAGAGACCGCAACGATCTTATCTGCAGATACCGCCGAGGTAAACGAAGCCAATGAAATCTGACAACAGTTGACTTTGAGGAGATGTGAGTGCACCGATAAGAAGGAAGCTCGGGTTCGGTTATTGATTTTTCTTCTTCGTCTCTAGTAGCGGAACTGCGTCTACCTGACACTGTGGGGGTGGTGCCGTCACTTCAGGTTAAGAAAAAATTCAGAGGTAGCAGCAGAGCCACTACCGTGTAGAGGACGTGAAACGTCTGCGGAATGGCCATTCGTACGACTCGAGCATGCTAGCCATTGGGCCGTTGCGCGCGCTCCGGAAATTCGGAATCGCCCTCTCCCAGGAGCAGCCATGTTCACGGGCGAATAGGGCGCATAGGGTGCCATTCTTGCCTCCAGGAGTTGATCTGTGCGTGTGGGAATTCCGCAGGAAGTATATGAAATTGATGTCCCGTAGTTTTGCTATCTGAAGATACCAACCGGGTGTCGATCGGTGTAGAAGGCACAGAGCTGCAGGGCGTAGGAAATGGACAAGTTTCGTCACACTTTTGGTGAAATACTAGGCCAACCTTTTTAAAGACGTTTCACGTCGAAAGGAAGAGAATGAGTGAAAAAATTCAGAGGTAGCAGCAGAGCCACTACCGTGTAGAGGACGCGAAACGTCTTCGGAATGGCCATTCGTGAGACTCGAGCATCGTCATTATCTCTTCAAAATCAGCTCGTACTTTCAGGTCTCATTATCACTGGTGAAGTCGAACTCTTCACCGAAGTTGGGAAAATATCTTCTTCTGAGTGGAAAATATCTTCTTCTGAGTGGAAAATATCTTCTTCTGAGAAAAAAATATCTCCTTCTGAGTTTTGAAAGAGGTGCATGCGGAATTGCGTTGCTAGCCATTGGGCCGTTACGCGCGCTCTGGAAATTTGAAATCGCCCTCTCCCAGGAGCAGCCGTGTTCACGGGCGAATAGGGCGCATAGGGTGTCCTTCTTGCCTCCAGGAGTTGATCTGTGCGTGTGGGAATTCCGCAGGACGTATATGAAATTGATGTCCCGTAAATTTGCTATCTAAAGACACGAACCGGGTGCCGATCGGTGTAGAAGGCACGGAGCTGCAGAGCGTAGAAAATGGACAAGTTTCGTCACACTTTTGGCGAAATACTAGGCCAACCTTTCTGAAGACGTTTCACGACGGAAGATGTAATTTGAGTCCATGCACTTGGAAACGTGCTGCTCCAATGATGATGTGCTCAGGTACGTGACGAGAGCTCTCTGTATCTTGATTTTGGCAGCAAAGGTTCGAGTCTCCTCTCGGAGCTGATGATATATTTGCACAAAGTTTCAATGCTCTCTCCCGTGTGTACATACAAGGACGAGAAACATCAACGAGCTCTTGGACAGGACAACGAGGATCCAAGGAGCGACAGGATGGTTTCACGGTTCGAAAATCGCCTGAGATTTATTGATCTCGCGTCGTCGTGCGGAGATTACAATCTGGTGACGCTCCAACATCTGAGCCCTGAGGTGGGTGAGATTTGGTTCATTTCTTCTCAGGCCAATCATTTGCGTATCAAAATCCCCAGGGATTGCGAGCTATCCTACACTTCGGAACATAAACGAATGCATACTAGCGTCTCAGGAATCATTCAGGGTGGGAGAGGGTTGCCGCTCATCTGATCGACTTGAACTGTTGCTTATTACAGGTGGACACCGTCGACGACTTCGTGCAAGCGGTGAACAAAGGCGCAATTTGGATTTTCCTCCTCGGGAACATTCTGACCGGCGCGATAAATTTATTTCTCAGCGGAAGCATTTCTACGCTGAATGCGAGCGTCTCTGTCCCGATCCTGATCGCATACGGAACCACTCTCCTCACATTCGCGCTATTCTTCTTCCCGAAGCCCAAGGTCGTGATCGACCTCGCCAAAAAGTCCGAATGAGATCCGCCGACTTTATTTTTGTGATGTACAGATACTAATAAATGCTCCTGTGAGGATCGGCGGAGCTCATTGTTTGCAGCCCGCAGGAACGAATCAGAAATCGATGATACGCCTCATAAAGACACGGAACTTCGTTCCGCGAAATTCTGGTGGGAGCATCCCCTCTGATCGATTCCATACGGCGTGTCTAAGATTCTCGTGGAGTATATCGGCCTCTGCTAGTTCGAGTTACTGTTGGAAATAGGGATTCCTATCAGACACTGAGGCTCTGAGCACCTTGGCGCTGAGAGCCGGGGTTCACCCCGCTCGGACATCGGGTGCGATGATCCTCTGATTCCAGGACCTCATCAATTAGCTAGACGGAGAGGACTTCGGTGACCAATCGATCAATCTCTTACGAAGTAAGCTTCTCCTTATGACCAAGGGAGTCGAAACGACACATAGAAGAAATAGGTATTGCGTCTGAAGAGCGGGCTTCAAATCACCCGAGTACACAAGCATCCTTCCATCAAGAATAACTCTCACCCTCTACGCTGGATCAGTACATACCGTATTCTCTCTAATAGTCGGGCACTCTCTAATAATCGGGCACTCTCTATTATGAGGGCAGGGTCGGGAAACTTGAAAAATACACGGGCACTCTCCATTATAAGGGCGCTCTCTATTATGAGGGCAGGTTCGGGGAACTTGGAAAATGGAGGAGTATTCTCGGTCGGTGGACACTCGTCATGATGCAGCGACCTTCCACGTCTTGTAGTCAAGTTCTCGCGTGTTGACACCTTCGCATGGTCAGCTGTGTGAGTACGCAGCGGGATCGATCTCGCGTGAAAGTTAGAAGATACCTTCCACTCAAAGACTCATGGCTCCAGTGGAAAATATACAGGGGCACTCTCTAATATACGGGCACTCTCTATTATGAGGGCAGGTTCGGGGAACTTGAAAAATAGACGGGCAGGCCCGACTATTAGAGAGAATACGGTAAGCATCGTCGGGATACGGATAAAACTCTCTGACACTGCGACAGTGGTCCGGGGCTTCTACTCTGTCTTCCTGTGTAATCGAAACTGAGCTACATCAAGCCGCGCTTCCCCAGAACCTGCGGCGGAGCATTTCAGGTCCAACGAGTACCTTTTACGGAGACGTACTTCGGACTGCAGAGGCGGAGAATATTACGGAATAACGACTCCATACGATTCCAAGCTCGAAGCGGAACAGCACATGGTCGCATGGACTTATTAGCATCGGCCACCTCCTCGCGGTCATCGATGGCGGTCCCGATCCGATGAAAATCGGAGCTCTGACGAAGGAAATTCCGTTCCATTGTCTCACTGGGGTAGCTCTCTCTCCGAATTTCATGGTTCCAATTACGTTGGGGGTTCGCGCCGCTGGCGCGGTGGGAATCGTGTGCGCGGTCCAATTAGAAGTTGCGCCATCCCCCGCAGAATCATCGCGAGATCTTATCATAAGCAAATACAACAACTCCATTATCTGGTGGGCCTGCTCCTCTAATCGAACGGGAAACTGCATCCAGCGTTCGGGCCAGAGAAAAAAGGGTAACGGAATAGGCGAGCGAGGTAGCTTCTGAGGTCCTGGATCGAGACAATATACTCTCGCAGAGAGCGGAAGATCTCGCAAGGCGAACACTAATGAGTATCCGTCATCACAGTGGAGTTTATCGGAATCTCCGATAAAAAAATTGTCAGATTGAACTACGCGCCGCCGTTCGATAAAGGAGAGAGGGGACAAAGACGACGGAATTCGCATTGCCTTGTACCTCTTGAGCGCCGTTTCTAGCCGAGGACCCCTTGCACCTGGACAGCAATCCAGCCCGACAGCGACATGGAACATACAAGATCACGTTCGATGGGAGTTCGATATTTTATTTCGGGCTCCAGACGGACCTCTACTCGATGGACGCGCGGGTCGAGAGCAATACGGAACCTCCGCGGCAATTAAGTTAAACCTTCTCGGATATGTTTCGCAATCGAGAGAGAGAGGCGGGAGAAGTTCACGCTCTCTCTGACTGGATCGACCCGATTTCTATCGCGAGTTTTTTCCTCGCGATGCTGAGCCAGATTCCGCTGGCTCTAAACTCGGAATTCCGGAGGAATTCCAGTGCCATTGTGATCAGGGGTGCCGTGTCTGTCCCGCGAACACGGATCGATCTGTCATCCAGACTTACCGACTGATTTATCGGTTCGGTCCACGACCGCTGCATCATATCAAGCGGAATATCTGATAAGGAGAATGCCATACATTCGAACGAACTACTCTATCTCGAATTCAGCCCCCCCCCCATCTCGGGGCGAGGGGGGCTCGTTTGACGATCGCATGCGACGTCAGGCTCTTCGATTGGAGCGAACGCTCCGCTTGCGATGACCACCGGCAGGTTTGTGAATTCTCCTAGAGCTCCGCGCGCGAACGTTATCTTTCCGCCAAAAATTGAGGAAAAAACGGAGCGTGGTAGAACACCCGAGACGTTCTCCGGGTGTTCCACTTAGCGGTCCCACTGCAGGGCTCGCTCAACAATTGCAATTTTGCAGATATCGCTAATGTTCGCTGCGATAAGCGTTTCTGCGGAGTGTCGTATGCGTTGCATCGTGTAACAGAAGTCAGGGGGATACGACGGCGAGGCGGCCAATCTATTCCCTCCGGGTTATGGCTGGCAAATGGTATGGAGAACGGCTTGGCTCCTTTTCGCGATTTTCCGGGAATGGGGGAAATTCGCAATGATTTTTTTCTCATCCAGAATTGAGTCGATCGGTTGAACGATCTCTACACCGGTCACAGCTCCACATCGCACAGCTTCA